TGTTATTATATGTAATTATTTATTTTTATCACACGCATCCTCAATCCTCTATCACACCACCACCACACCTCCACACACCCTACCACACCACCACCCTACCTACTCCACCACCACACCTCCCCACCATCCTACCCACACCACCACACCCTCCCACCACCACACTCCCACACCACATCCTACCCCACACCACACCCTACCCCACACCACCACCACACCTCCCACCACCACCCTCCCACACCCCACACCACACCACCACACCACCACCACCTCCCACCCACACCACCCACACCCCACCCCACACACCACACCTCCCACCACCACACACCACACCCCACCCACACCCCACACCCCACCACCCCCACACCACACCCACACCCCACCCCCACACCCCACCACACACACACCTCCCCACCCACATCCTACCCCCACACCACCCACCACCCCTACCCCCACCACCACATCTCCCACCACCACCCACACCACCTCCCTACCCCACACCTCCCACACCTCACCACATCCCACCCACACCACCACACCCCACCCCTCCCCACCACCCCCACCTCCCCCACCACACCACCACACCCCACCCCACACCACCACCACACCACCCACACACTCCACCACACCACCCACACCCCACACCACACACCACCACCACCCTACCCACCACACCACCACACCACACCCCCACCCACACACCACACCCACCCACACCACCACACCCTACCATACCACCACCTCCCACACCCACACCCCTACCCACCACACACCACACCCCACACCCACCTCCCACACCACCCCACCCACACCCACCACACACCACACACCCCACTACCCACCCCACCACACACCACCTACCCACACCACCACACCCCTACCCACACCACCCTACCCACACCCACACCCCACCCCACCACCACCCCTACCCTCCCACCACCACACCCCCACCCCACCCACCACACACCACCACCACCACACCACCACCACACCACCCACACCCACATACCCACACCCCACACCACCTACCCACACCACCACCACACCTCCCACACCACCCCTACCACACCAGCCCCACACCACTACCCACACCACCACCACACCTCCCACACCACATCCTACCCACACCACCACACCCTACCCACACCACTACCACACCCTCCCCACAACCTAACCTACAATGACTGCCTGAGATGATACTAGCCTTTTGATCAAACGTAGATAATTCAAGCAGTGACAATGACTTATATCAAATGAAGGTCACACAGTTACCTAACGACATCACTGAAATACTTACAAAAATATGACGGATAAAGATCAAACGAAATTATAGTTTATAATAAAAAAGTTCATGATAGATTTGACCTTAAGTTTATCTGACAGGTTCAAACATTTATAATAACACCTAGAAGTTCAAACACACATCAGAGGAAACAAATTTGACGGTTTTCTCTTTGATTCCGTGTTGTGTAAAAAAGATTGACTTATTTTTTAACGTAATTCCGTGTTGTGAAGAAAAGGTTGACTCATTTACAAACATAATTCCGTGTTGTGCGTTAGTAACTTGACGACAACACTCATCCTCATCTAAGTGGCCCTAATTCCTCTACTCGTCGTGGTGGAGTGTAACCCGGAATTAATATCCATTCTATGATAATTTCTCCAACTCTCACCTTAGTAACCCGGAAATAAACAAACAACTCCTTCGTCCTGTTGAGAAATGAGAAATATAATAACTTAACCTAACTTTACACTTGAGAAGACAAAAGAGTTCATGTTCAGTGCTTCCTACATGGTTATCTTATGTGCCAAAGTCTAGATAATCAAGGTTGCTGTATCTGCATTTCACTCCAGCGGGTTCCTGAGTAGGATTCAGTATTAAACTAAGATAGAGTTCAGTCTTGATTGAATTCCACAAAAAGACTTGGAATAGATTTGACTGATTTTGAGAATTTTTGAGACCATTTCGAGCAGAGAGACGCACTTGAGTTATCTCAGAAGTATGTCAGCGAGTCAGTTCATCCAGTTACTAATTATTAATGGTCTACTTAACATTTGAAACTGACTTTTGGAGTTATTTTATTCAATCTTGTTTAAAGTTCATGGACGTCCTTCAGATCAGCTTCTCTGTCTCTCTTCCTTCTCTCTCTCTCTCTCTACACACACATACTTTAGACACCGTTCTCCCTCCTCCTTCCCTCAGGCCCCCTCCTCTTCTCAAATCTGCCTCCCTTCCCCCCTTCCCAAGTATCCTTCCCATCCCATTTTCACCCCATTCCACAGTCAACCCCATTTCCCCTCTCCTCTTCCCATCCCTCCTTCCTCTACAGCAGGGGTCACCAAACTTTTTTCACAGTGGGCCGGATAACTGAAAGAATGACGAGCGCGGGCCGCATAATCATTCTGTTCAATACTTGCAAGTCAGAACGAAAGCTCTGGTAACGTCAGAGCGTAGGCGGAGCTACCACGAGCCGGGGAAGGACTTGGATCCGGCCCGCGGGCCGTAGTTTGGTGACCCCTGCTCTACAGTGACAGACGCAGCTGGGGGAGGAGACAGAGAGCATAGACGAAGCATTACCTATTCCTCCTCCGTCAGTAGGTCGGTCCCCCTCAGATACCTTCCTGACCCATATTCTATTAAACTGTGTCAGGTGTTGGTTATTCATTCACGTCTAGCGGACTGTAGCCAAGAGGTAATTGATGAATGAATGATTGCGTGAGTTCTGGTTGAGAAGGTGTGGATTTCTATCAGTTTGTTGGTGGTCGTAGTGTTGGTAGTGTGTGTGATGGTAGAAGTAGTGGTGTTGTAGTATTGGTAGTAGTAGTACTAGTAGTAGTGGATGACGCAGTGTAAAAAATGTATAGAATGGCCATTGGTTTCTCTCCTTCCTCCCTCTTCCTTCACCTCCCTTTCCTCCACCTCCCCTTCCTCTCCCTTCCCCTTCTCCCTCTTCCTTCACCTCCCTTTCCTCCACCTCCCCTTCCTCTCCCTTCCCCTTCTCCCTCTTCCTCCGCGTCCCCCTCCTTCCCTTCCCTTCCTCCTCTGCTCCTTCCTGGTGACATTATGCATCTCAGGCTGGAATGTAGGTTTGGTCTCATCCACACCTGCCCTAACCTTCACTCGGTGGAATTCGAGTTGAGTAATTCACAAGCGTGTTAGTGTGGCGAAGATGACGTCAATGAAAAGCATAGATGTTGCCTTATCTCTCTATCTCCTTATATTATTCTCTTACTTCTTATCTCCTTTATTACCTTTTGTTTATGTCTCTTCTTTCTTATTATTTATGATTTTGTTTCGTTTATTTTATTTATTTAGGGATTTTTTTCTAATGTCGTTTTTCTTTTGTTTTTGTTTACATTAGTCTCTCGTTCAGGTCCAATGAGAGAGTGAAGAAATCAACATAGAGAGTATTGATTGGTTGTTTTGAAGGCACCTCCCCTCAACTATCTCGTCTTATTAATGAGCATAACGAGACCTGAGCACCTGGTTAATATTCATCATGGGGTAGGTGACCAATTATGTTGTTTATTACCACGTACTATAAATATATATATACACATATGCACGCGAGGTAACACACCCCACCCTATCACTTCACCCCCACACGCACACATACCTACCTTCTACGACACACACATACACGGTTCCCTCACCCGCTGTGGCTACATCTGAATCTTACCTGACGGAGAGTGACCTTATCAAGACAGGTGTGAACTTACCTCAACCTTAATAATTTACCCTCGATAAAAGTTATATTGTTCGTCTTTCCTGTACCTTCCCCCATGAGTGTGTGGTGCGTCTGTTTGTATGAGTGTTTGTGTGTTGCTATTGGGGAAGGGAGGGGAGGGAGGGAGGGAGGGGAGAGAGGGGAGGGAGGGGAGGGAGGGGAGGGGACGTAACATTACCCCAGTGGAGATAAGGTACTGCATATACCTTACAGCCTCTTGAGAAACACTAACCTAACCTAACCTAACCTAGTAGTCTACACAGCAAGGACGGCTCTACACAGACATCCAGACTATTCGACCGTGAACTCATAAAACATATAAGCAACTGTATATCTGTAATTAGACTTATTTATCACTCAGTAAAACACAAGGCAGGTGTAAGAAGTCACTTGAAAAACACTATATTCTCACCATGGTCGTCTCTTACACACGTTAGGAAGATAAATAATAAATCAAAATGTATTCTATTAATCTCTGTTTACTTTACTCACCTCAAGGACTTTTAATTTTAACTTTCTGGGCAACAATGAATCTATACACAACTCCACTGACTTAGCTATGAGTTAGGTGGCCGGAACTAACTCTCCATCACACGACTAACATAATCTTCTATACTACACTCCACAAACAATTAGTACTCACGATAGATGCTTAGGTCACAGGTGCCAGCTTTCAGTCTGGGGAGAATCACTGAAGAGATCACAGACTCTAATAAAAGTTCGGGTCTTCTGTTCTGGGTGTTACGTCCGTCGCTCCTTAAGTAACAACTGTAAGCAGGCTCACGGCACCAGTACCCTGATTGGTTGAGGAAGTCGCTGTTTGGTGAACTAGCAAACGACTGTCTCTGGTTGTTATAAACGTGTCAATAGTTGTTTATGGCAAGGAGGGGGGAGGCAGCCAGACTTAAGAGGTGGAATTTGTACCTTACCTGTATGGCAACCATGTACAGGTATATTGGACGTAAGTAATAGACAAACACAGGGGGTGACTGTAGCTACCAAGTGTAGACGGTCACCTTAAGGCTTTCACCTACACCTCTTGTGTTTTGTCGAATCTAGTTTTATGACTCGACAGACTTACTACTCACTCATGAGGTCTGATTGAGAGGCTGGTTAGTAAGCCCTTATACCACCTGGGGGGCAGCTGGTGAGAGTCTGCCTTGGTGTTTGGTTCATACGATTATCACCATATAATTTCTTTTTGTGAGGGATCATGTCTATATCAGGTTCATGATACAAGACTTCCTAAAAAGGAATTAAAAATAAAACTCCTTATTTTGGTGTGGGTAAACAGGTATATTTATTGTCTACTTTGTTTATATATACAAAAAAGTGCTCATGGGAGGATATATATTTACATTGATGATAACACTAACTCGGCCATCTACTTTGAACACTTACTGCGTGTTGTCTGGTGTTGAACAGACCACCAGCGACAAGTAATGGAAACAAATAACATAAAATATAAACATAAATAACAAATAAAACATAAATAACATAGTGACTTTAAAATATGATGAAGTTCTGAGCGTCATGAGCAGCTGATGCATGGTGATGACCCACACACCAAAACACAGCCTCTGTATCGTTTAGTGTAGGATAGTGATAGATTTCGTTCGTCCCACAAAATGTCAAAATCGCTCATCAAATTCTCCTAATAGTGACTGACTTAAGACAAGAATGTGTTTAAGGACAATAGTTAACTTAGACTGCGGCAATTTTCCTTACAATACCATAATGTGACCTTGTGGACTATTGCCTTAATAATACACAAAATCTTTGGTGGTACGGGGAAGTCTAGTTCTGACAGATTAACTAAACTAAGAATATATATCTCCTAATCGAACTAAATAAAATCTATCATATTTTAAGGGGGTTATATGTAAGATTATGACATGTAGGAAATTACAAAATTGAGCAGTTTATGGCATTGATTCAAAATAAATATTTTGTACTTTTCCAAATTTATGTAAATATATTCACTGAGTTTGAGAATAAACAAAAAAAATATTTACCTGATCATTTCACAACACACAATATATACTCATGATTTTAAATTGAGGTACATAAATTTCCGGGTACAGTATTTATTTATCAACTGTATTTTGTACTCCAGATCTTTGTAATATCAAACATCAGCATACATAAAAAAACAACATCTCGAACGCTTATCAAAACACCCGTTGGTAATTGAACACAAATAATCACTACATGTGAATATTAACACCACAATATTATCCCTATATCGCAGGTTTTGACGCAAATAAAAAAATATATTGTAATAATGTTAATATACTGTAGAACGATACGTTAATGTTCCCATATATAGTTCACTACTCCTCTACACAAACTCCTAAGGTAATATTTATATATCAATTACAATGGTATATTTCATTCGTATCATACATACAGCCAAAGGAATTATAATATATAAATAAATATAAGAATATATATCAAAACAAATACATCGTCATACGTTTTACTGTAGTTTGTGCTGAAGGCGAAAGAGAACTGAAGTTACTACAAAAAAACAGGAAACTCAGCTGACGGTAGACGTGAGGTTACAGTATTACAAACTGACTGTATCCTGTAACTAAAGTATTAAATAACCCATTAAAACTATGATTGGTATAAACACCCTAAAAGTTTATTATATAACATTTATCTACCTACCTTTTTATTATATATACCTGTATATCATTCATCTAGTATTGAGCTATATCAGTATTGTGTACATTGTCCTTTATATAGCGTTATATTTAACATTTACGCTCTATTTAGGTACTAATGACTATAATATTATAGTCTACCATGGTATAGGCAAAAAGTGAAGCCATCTGCGGTATATTCGACATCAATCTCAATGAGACTCCTACAAAAATAATAATATTGTAGTGTATAAGACTTCTGGTTCCTAATGTGATTTAAGTAAAAAAAATACTATACATTTAACACACTATAAGCCTTAAATAATATACTTTAGCTTTACTTATCATAGTTTCTATCAGGATTACATAAAATTACACTTAACACTTTATTATTTTTCTTTGGAGATATTGTTTAGTTTGTTTCGTAATTGATGCTGACTGTGATTATAATTGTTTTTTTATAATTTAGCTTAATAATAAATTTAGTTTATTAAATCATTTTAAATTATGAAAAAATAGTTATCCTAAGAACCTTTGAGAATTTAGCTACAGATACACAAGTATCCCAAAAGTCAACCAATATGGCACTAGGCTATATTATTAGTCCAAGGTGGATATATTAGCTTCATATTCCATCGTTTTTAGTGATCGAGGGATATATTATATAATCCAATAAGCCTTATGAAGCTTGGAGTATACTTTAGACTTGGGGAGATAAATTTCAGTATATTTCAAGTAATATTACAGTGGGAATCTGAAATGGTGTGAGAGTACCGAAAAACAATTCAGAATACAAAACTTTTAGACTTATGGCAGATTTCAGGAACTATTCAAGGTTGTAAATTGCGTAGTTGATTTCAGTATATCAGAGAAATATTAAACTTCAGGAAGGATATATTAGGCCCGAGAAAATGTATTAAAATTTCAGATAGGATCTATAAGACTTCAGATAGGGTTTATTAGACTTCAGAGGGAATATATTCGACTTGAGGAACATAGGTAAGAACAATTTTGACTTTTAAAGCGAAAATTACCTACTGAATAAAGAAGAATGAAGAGGAAAGAAGAGAGCAATAAAGATAGAGAAGGAACGAGACACAAAGAGAGAGAGAGAGAGACAGGAGACAAAATTAAAACAGAAAAAATGAAAATACAAGAAAATAAGTAACGCTAAATACACCGCCCAAAAAGTACAGGTTAGCTGATAAATTATTAATAAAGATAATAAAGAAGAGCATTAATCACACGAGTAAAGATGACTTAGAAATATTAAAACAACGGAGTGAATTGGTTTACGCTGTCGTTCGTTATCTATTTACGGGTTATTCCAGGGTTAGTATAGTATAATACCAATATATATTTTTTGTAGATGTGATTATTCATATTATTTGCCAGGATTGAATTTCATTATTATTATTGTTATTATTATTATTGGTATTATTATTATTATTGTTATTATTATTATTATATTTATTATTATTGGTATTATTAATATCGTTATTATTATTATTATTATTATTATTATTATCCACGTAACTAAATAACTAAGCTGATTTTTTCCTATACAGAAGCAGATAATTACACAAATAATAATATTAATAACAACAACAACAAGCAGTGCATGACAAGACTATCACTAACCACAACTACAACCATCGACTTTACTGTACGTCTTACTTAGGCATTGATATAATAAAATATTTTCTCCTAATACAACTAACCTTAGAGTGTATTGCTGTAGAATAACATTACATTGGTTAGTGTCTAGCCCCTACCAACAGAGAAGAGAGGACTGGTATAAAGATTTGGATTGGATTACCTCGACTGTGATTGGAGGTTAGGGAAATTATTGATTATGTACGAATTTGGCCCAATCATTAAGGGAATTATTGTTTATGTGCGAATTTTGGTTCTAATCACTGTCCAATCTCATTATTTTGCGATTTCACCATTTACTAAGCCACATTATCCTCAAACCAGAGACCAGACGAGTCGAGCTGATGTGAGATGGATAAATGAGCTATCTTGGTGTTAAATTTACATGTAATTCGCATTTTTTCTTGTGTTTTTGATGTGGCTCGAGGATTTGGAGGGTAGGTAGAGGTGAGGGAAAGTGGGAGAGGTTGAGAAATATACCTGGCTGCTGAGTGAGAAGAAATAAGGAGACAGATTTAGAGAGAGAGTGAGAGAGAGACCATATTTAGAGACCCTTGGTGATTATATGATGAAACAAAATCACCAGGTGGACACAGTCTATTTATTGTTTACACTGACGTAATTATTGATCGTATTTATGACCCAGGTGTAAAAATTTATCTGGTATATAATAATGTTTTGTTTACGTTTTCATTATCATAGTGATGTTATGGCGCAGTGATGTGAGACGATTTATAAAGGCGTTTTACCTCGAAGAATAAAACCAGTTGTAGAGGAGAGATATCTTGAGGAATAAATCCCAATTGGTTTATAACATGTAAACCTAAATAAACCTGGTTTTAACATCTGACTAGTGTGGATGATAAGCTGAGGAGGGTAATACGGGATTTTGGTTTATGTTATTCTTGGTGTTGATGTTATGTTCTTCGTGGTAAATATTTACTTGTATTCATAGTTATTATTTATGTAATGGATTCCAAATAAACTTAGTCAGTCAATGTGGTGTGAAGGTTAGGTTAGGTAACACAGGTTGATTGCTCACATACACACTTAGTTGAGATTATAGGGAAAGATTCTCCATAAAACTCCACATTTTTAGTCCCAATATTTAAGTATATTATTTTTTTTACAAATTTAATCCTTAACACAGAGTTTCCTATAATACATTAAACAGTGACGTGTAAAACTGTGGGAGCAGAGTGTCATGTTGTTGATGACTCCTACTGCTGAAGTACCCAGTGGCTGTATCCTGGCCGACAAGGTACAGTTAGTTACCTTATTAGTGTTTGTTGTTGACTCCTGATGACTGATGGGCCATTGTAGGTCAGGTAATATTGTGGTCTGTCTCGCTCACAGGTATATGGTGAGTTTCTATTGGCTAAGACACACAGAAGGAGTTGGTGGGTGGTCACTCCTGCTGGTGGTCATGATGAAGGGGTGATGAGCCCTCCCGACCTTCACCTTATTTCCTTCATTAGTTCATCTTTGGTATTTCTACTATGACTGAGGCGACAGATAGCGTCTCAGTACTGGGTGAGAGCTGGACACCTCCACGCCAGGTGCACAGCGTTAGGGGTACAGGTGAGGGAACCTAGGTGAGGGAGGAGAGGTAGGGAGGGTGTGTGTGTGTGTGTGTGCGACTCTACGGTGGTGATGGCGGCCTCCTGCCACCTAGCACAATTGTCAGTGACTGTGCGTCCCTCTGTCTGTGGGGAGAACAAGTTAGGTTAGGTTAGGTTAGGTTAGCGTGAGTCCAGGCAGTACAGGCGGTGATAACTAAAGCTATTCACAACGTGCTTCTGTTTTCTGAGGTATGATCACAATTGTTATTAATGGCTAACAGGTGTCGCTACAATGGTTAAGAATGTTCTGTGAATATCATTATAATGCAAAAGTTAATGTTACCTTATTTAGTAAACACCATCGTCTTTAACTCTCTCTATAGACTAAAACCTTCACTATGAATTAAATTAAATATGAGTCACTACAGTTCATATACATGCACAGTCACCTGAGCAAGCAATTGATTTTTTTCTCACTTGTCCCCAGGGCTGAGAGCCACTCAAGGGCAGCCATGCGTGTAAAGGTCAAACATCGGTAGTGTAAAGTCACCGCCAGAACCAGATCGATTACGGTCGTGTGGTCAGAGATTGTTCAGACACAGCCAGGAAGTCACAGATCATGCTGGGAGGGACAGTAGTGAAGGTCCTCGTGGGTACCATGCAGTCAGTGGTAGTTCCTGGACGTGTAGTATGGTCAGGTCACACACACTGAGCTGTGGCGCTGTATCTTCGTCTCAAAATCAACTTTTAACCAATAAAAATCAAATATAAATGTTGATTGAACACTGACAGCTTGCTGGACTTACTGTTTTTAGAGTTATTTAATAAGTATATTTAACTTCCTGGGTGAAGATATTTCCCAGATTGTCGAATTCAGTTTTAATAATTCGTTTACATGATACAGACAGACTAACAGCAACACCAACGCGGCTTTGATAAATATTGCAAACTTGTGAGCCAACGACAGGCAGCTCGCCCACCACCGGTTCACAACACATCACTTCCAGATTTGTGTCACGTAACATCGATCAACAGCGACAAATAGCTGAACAAAACACTTAAAGCCAATTAAAAAGTAGTGTCGACAAAGTTACTCGGTGCGACAGCCAGACAGCGACCAGCCTCCATCATGGTCACTCAAGAAGACACTCATGGTAGCGTGGTGGAAGGCAGTCACCTGAGAGAGACTTCTAGTTAACCTGACCTCATAAGTTATATATCACAGCTACTTTTATGGCTTATAATCTAGACACAAAGAGAGTGAGCAGCTTATTCTTAGTACATTACAAGCTAACAGCAGGAGGAGGTGCATGGTGGGGGAGGCTCAATCGTCCTCTTGTACGGGTGAAGGCGGCGGGGTACTGGGGGGCATGACGATGGGTGATATGGTGGGTGAAGGATGGGAGAGCACCTGTAGTGGGGTGAGGGTGGAAGCGGAGGTGTTTATGTGCCACACCTCGGGATTGTTAGGGAGTGAGAGGCGGTGATGGTGTGGGTGCCTGGAAGTAGGGCGGTTGGGTAGTGCTATGGGTGCCAAGGCGGGTAGACCCAAAGAAGGGCGGGAGCGGCGCGGGCGTTCAACAGGCTGGGGCGTAAAGGACACCATATTCTGCAGAAACTCCAGGTCTCTAAGCCATGAACGGCTTGACCAGTGTCCCTGTGCTTGACCGCGAACCTGGATTGCTTTTGTCCCGCCACCCTCTCAAGATCCACTCCCCGAAGATAATGACGGCGGCCAGCACGAACCCTGCACCAGATACACAGTTAGTTATAAGGGCCACAACTACATTCACAGACACCACTCATGCTAACCTCACACCCAAGTACAGACGCTCACAAAAAACTATCTGCATTTGGGGTGATCGATATATTTCACAATGAACACTACGACTCCTGTTGTCTAGGTAAAGTTGTCAAAATCTTTCGTCCGTTGTATCATATTGTTTAATGCAATTTTGTAAGGATAGTTAATGTTTATTATCAATATACCACTGTGACGTACGTGTGTGTGTGTGTGTGTGTGTGTGTGTGTGTGTGTGTGTGTGTGTGTGTGTGTGTGTGTGTGTGTGTGTGCGTGTGTTGGTGTGTGTTGTGTGTGTTGGTGTGTGTGTGTGTGTGTGTGTGGGTGTGTGTGTGTCTCATACGCCACAACACAACAGTAATCACCAAGAACTCTTCCGTCTCATTCATGGAAAAATATTCATATCTGTCTTACATCTATTTCTTCTACACACACACACACACATGACTGATCAAGTGACAAAGAGAGGAACTGGACGACTCACCGAGGAAGAGGAGGAAGAAGGAGCCTTGCATATCAGATAGGGAGACGGTCCTGGTCGCGTCTCCTCCGCCATAGGCCGTGGAGGAGCATTTGTTCTTCCTGGGCCAATAGTCCTGCTTCCACTTCTGAATCAACCCACCGAGCTGCATCTTCTTAAGCCTTGAGGTTGAGAGGTTGGGGAGAGGTTGAGAGGTAGAGGTTGAGTGAAAGGGAGTAATCGAGATGGACTACCAAGTATGGACTAACAAAAAGTTGTCAAATTGAGTTATTAGATCAGATAATGAAAGAATGATAATTAAGAAGACATGGACGATGATTCTACGAATGTAATCATCGTCTACGTCGAGTATGATAAATGACGTAAGAGACAAAAAAACGTAAACAAACACTTACTCTACGTTAAACTTGTCGACGTAAGGGCTGTCTTGGGGTACTGCCAGCGCTACGTTCTCGTGGTAGAATTCTTCCCGACCTGTGGAAGATCACATCAGGGTCACCACACTGTTATGCTCTCACGACACCTCACACTCACCTCCACCAAGGTCACCACACTGTTATGCTCTCACGACACCTCACACTCACCTCCACCAGGGTCACCACACTGTTATGCTCTCACGACACCTCACACTCACCTCCACCAGGGTCACCACACTGTTATGCTCTCACGACACCTCACACTGACCTCCACCAGGGTCACCACACTGTTATGCTCTCACGACACCTCACACTGACCTCCACCAGGGTCACCACACTGTTATGCTCTCACGACACCTCACACTGACCTCCACCAGGGTCACCACACTGTTATGCCTCACGACACCTCACACTCACCTCCACCAGGGTCACCACACTGTTATGCCTCATTTATTGAATTTCACACTGACCTCCACCAGGGTCACCACACTGTTATGCTCTCACGACACCTCACACTCACCTCCACCAGGGTCACCACACTGTTATGCTCTCACGACACCTCATACTGACTCCACCAGGGTCACCAATACCACCCTTTATGCTCCCCACGACACACTCACACTCACCTCCACCAGGGTCACCTACACTGTTATGCTCTCACGACACCTGACACCTCACCCACCAGGTCACCAAACCGTTATGCTCTCACGACACCTCACACCGACCTCCACCAGGGTCACCACACTGTTATGCTCTCACGACACCTCACACTCACCTCCACCAGGGTCACCACACTGTTATGCCCCTCACGACACTTCTGCACTCACCTCCACCTCAGGGTCACCACACTGTTATGCTCCTTGACACCCCACACTGACCTCCACCTGTGGTCACCACACTGTTATGCTCTCACGACACCCTCACACTCTCACCTCCACCAGGGTCAATGTAATAGGCCCCTGTCTCATCAACAGAACGTATTATATAAATGGGTCAATACATCTGATATTATATTCAGATTCACCACCCCGTAACTTTCCACTGTCTATGAGTAAGACATGAGATGGACACGTGAGCAGGCAACTCACCCAAGAGGGCGAGACCCATAGCTCAGCATTTCTGTAAGCACGCACTGCGATGCCCTTAAGCTTCAGTAGCTCACCTCAACTCATATCGTAAGGACGTGACCTAACGTTTATTATACATAAACGCCGTCCCCTTCTCATTCACTCCTAGACAGTGGGACTTACGGTTGATCAACACTCAGGAATTATATATACAACCTTTTATAATAAAACAAAGGAACTACCGTTTGGGTTTCGTTACTTAAAACCCAAATATAAATATATGTGAACGGACTGGTTAATTGGACAAGCAGCCGATTCAGTCACCACACTGTTATGCTCTCCACGACACTTCACACTCACCTCCTGGGGTCACCACACTGTTATGCTCTCACGACACCTCACACTGACCTCCACCAGGGTCACCACACTGTTATGCTCTCACGACACCTCACACTGACCTCCACCAGGGTCACCACACTGTTATGCTCTCACGACACCTCACACTGACCTCCACCAGGGTCACCACACTGTTATGCTCTCACGACACCTCACACTCACCTCTACTGGATTACACCGAGACAAGAATCACCATACTGTGACTCCAAAATAACAGTAAATCCGGGTTTCACGATAATTATAGGGTTTCAAGCTGTATCTAGATGTTATTTATTGTTTAAGCTTGACTATAGGATTAAATTAGACAGATATACGACTAAGCTTTCTGGGTGGTGACGTTAATCTTAAGCTTATAGGTATTATACTCTAAGCTTAGGATCATCAAGCCCTACCACCTACCTTCCCCCACCACACCTCACCCACCTCTTTCTAACTCAACAAACCGTCTCTCTATATATCTCTCTCTCTCTTCTAACACCTGCATCTGCCCCCTTCCTCTCTCTCTCTTCTAACACTCCTGCATCTGCCCCCTTCTCTCTCTCTTCTAACACCAGATCTGCCCCCCTTCCTCTCTTCTAACACCTGCATCTGCCCCCCATTCCTCTTTCTAACACTCCATCTGCCCCCCCCTTCTCTCTCTTCTAACACCTGCATCTGCCCCCATTCTCTCTCTCTCTCTCTCTTCTAACACCTGCATCTCCTTCCTCTCTCTCTCTCTCTTCTAACATTCTGCAGACTGCCCCCTTTTTCCTCTCTCTCTTCTAACACTCTGCATCTGCCTCTGACTCACTCTAGAGAGAAATCACAGGTGTTGGTAGCCCGGAACTCATCTCTCATCGTAAACAAGAGGTTGGTCTTCCACTCAAGGAAGGCGTGGTCGGTACTACGGACACGATCGTATAAGTCTGGTCGCTTCTTGCCGTCGTGTTTCTCGGCGTATTTCCCGATCTCACCGAACTTCTGCGCCGCCTCCTACAGGAAGATGATGGGTGGTGAGGGATATAGAGAGAGAGAGAGAGAGAGAGAGAGAGAGAGAGAGAGAGAGAGAGAGAGAGAGAGAGAGGGACTATACCATGATTATGATATTCACGATAAACGTCCATACTAAACAATATCAACGGGATATAGAGGTATAGATAGACAGACAATATATATAGAAGAAAGTATATATATATATATATATATATATATATATATATATATATATATATATATATATATATATATATATAATAGACACATGTAAATATATAAACAGGGAAGACAAGTTGATTTAGAGTCTGCCAAGTATACAAATGGCAGACCTACATCACCTACCACGGCAGACCTACACCACCTACCACGGCAGACCTACATCACCTACCACGGCAGACCTACACCACCTACCATGGCAGACCTACACCACCTACCACGGCAGACCTACATCACCTACCACGGCAGACCTACACCACCACGGCAGACCCACACCACCTACCACGGCAGACCCACACCACCCACCACGGCAGACCCACACCACCACCACGCAGGCAGACCCACACCACCCACCACGGCAGACCCACACCACCTACCACGGGCAGACCCAGTACACCACCCACCACGGCAGACCCACATCACCCAACATTGGCAGACTCCACACCACCCAAACACGGCAGACCCACATCACCCACACGGCAGACCCACACCACCTACCACGGCAGACCTACACACCTACCACTTGCAGACCCACACCACCAACCACGGCAGACCCACACCACCTACCACGGCAGACCTACACCACCCACCACGGCAGACCTACACCACCTACCACGGCAGACCTACACCACCTACCACGGCAGACCTACACCACCTACCACGGCAGACCTACATCACCTACCACGGCAGACCTACACCACCTACCACGGCAGACCTACACCACCTACCACGGCAGACCTACCAATCTACCATGGCAGACCTACACCAACTACCATGGCAGACAACGCGATGCCAAAAGGTCACGTAAGACTCAAACTTCCCCTTGATCACCATGAGAGCGCCGACCTTTTCTAATTCTCTGAATAAATGATGCTGCCATTTCACTGTTCTCTTGCGTGCCATCTGCCAGCCTGACCTTCCATCTGCCAGACAACCGGATGAAACACTCACACATATACATAACACACACACATACACACCCACACACACACCCACACACACACACAGACAGAGAGACAATGTTTACCTAATTCTCCCACGTATGTTCAGAATACCATTTTGCTGTTTCAACCTAAAATTTATCCACATCATTGTATTTAATAGCTCACAAAATAATCTTATTAATGTAACCATAATTTGCATTGTTATTTTATTTATTTATTTTTTATGATATATATTGTTATTATAGATGTAGATAATTATTAAGTAAAGGGGTTTTTATTTTATTTATTTATTTTTTGGAGGAGAGGGCGGGACTAATGAGGGTTGTCATGGTAACGAGATGACGCTGGAGGGGGCGGGGCTAGTGGGGGTTGTCATGGTAACGAGAGGACGCTGGAGGGGGCGGGGCTAGTGGGGGTTGTCATGGTAACGAGAGGACGCTGCAGAGACGTGACCTTATGTTTGTAGATTAGTGTGTCTTGTCTGTCTGTCTGTCACGCACGGTCTATATCTATCGGTCTGTCTGTCTGTCACGCACGGTCTATATCTATCGGTCTGTCTGTCTGTCTGTCTCTTTCTCTCTCTCATAAATTACAACTGAAATTTAGAAGAGAAATGAATAATAATGAATACACACACTTAATGACTTTTACGACATTACCTAAACTACTTTCTACAACACTGAGGTAAACTTTCACTTCCTACGATGAAATACAGTAGACCAGAGTAGAGTAGATAGTAGAGTAAAGTAGAATAAAGTAAAGTAGTAGAATAAAGTAAAGTAAAATAGTAGAATAAAGTAGAGAATAAAGTAAAGTAGAAGAATAAAGTGAAGCAGTAAAGTAGAATAGAAGAAGTTAAAGTAAAGTAGTAGAATAAAGTGAAGCAGTAAAGTAGAATAGAGTAGAAAAAGGTAGAGTAAAGTAGAGATTAAAGTAAAGTAGTGTAGTGAAGGAAAAATAGAATAGGGTAAAAAGTAGAGTAGAGCAGAATAACATAAAGTAAAGAAAAGTAAAGTAACGTAAAGTAAAGTAGAGCAAAGTTATGTAGATTATATGATGATAACTCGTGTTGTTACTCCGTTATGCACACTTAACAACCTTCGGACGACCTGTTAAGTGCCTCCTCCCCCCCCTCCGCTTGTCATTATCTGTTAGGGTGAGTTATGTTAGGTTAGGTTGGGTGAGGTTAGGTCTGGTTAGGTTGGGTTAGGTCTGGTTAGGTTGGGTTAGGTTAGGTAGGTTATGTTAGGTTAGGTAGGTTATGTTAGGTTAGGTTAGGTTAGGTTGGTCTGGTTAGGTTGTGGTTAGGTCTGGTTAGGTTAGGTTAGGGTAGGTTATGTTAGGTTAGGTTAGGTTAGGTTAGGTCTGGTTAGGTTGGGTTGGGTTAGGTCTGGTTAGGTTAGGTTAGGGTAGGTTATGTTAGGTTAGGTTAGGTTAGGTTAGGTCTGTTAGGTTGGGTTGGAGTTAGGTCTGGTTAGGTTAGGTTAGGTTAGGGTGAGTTATGTTAGGTTAGGGTAGGTTATGTTAGGGTAGGTTAGGTTAGGTTAGGTCTGGTTAGGTTGGGTTGGAGTTAGGTCTGGTTAGGTTAGGTTAGGGTAGGTTATGTTAGGTTAGGTTAGGTTAGGTTAGGTCTGGTTAGGTTGGGTTGGGTTAGGTCTGGTTAGGTTAGGTTAGGTAGGTTATGTTAGGTTAGGTTGGGTTAGGTTAGGTCTGGTTAGGTTGGGTTGGGTTAGGTCTGGTTAGGTTAGGTTAGGGTAGGTTATGTTAGGTTAGGTTGGGTTGGGTTAGGTCTGGTTAGGTTGGGTGGCCCTCCTTGTCATTACGTGTAGTATTTGTCACTTAGGTTTTGGGATTTTAAACTTGTCATCGGTGGAGTCTTCACACACACACACACACACACATACACACACACACACACACACATACACACACACACACACACACACACACACACACACACACACACACACACACACACTACAATAAAGCCTCACGTGATTTATTATGGATATAACAAAGTCATATTATTTACAAATTGCCACCATCTTCTTAATTAATAAAGGTATTGGATTACGTAAGTGTGTATGTGACACCTACCTCGACACCTGACACATATCGACACCTGCCACCTATCGACACCTGCACTATCGACACCTCCATCGACACCACATATCACACCTGCCACCTATCGACACCTTCCTATCGACACCTGCCACCTATCGACACGAGTATAACCACCACACACAGACTACCTAACAACACTGGTCCTTGAGCCACATTTGATCTATAACTCCAGGTGAGATATTACTCCAACAGGTACAGGTAGAGTAAGGTAGGAAGTCTGGTCTCTTTACATCTCTATTGCGCTTCTATGTGAGAGATGAGAGACAGATGGTGAAGGAGAGAGTGAGAGACAGATGGTGAAGGAGAGGTGAGAGACAGATGGTGAGGGAGAGAGATGTCAGACAGGTGGTGAGAGAGAGTAGAGACAGATGGTGAGGGAGAGTGAGAGACAGATGGTGAAGGAGAGTGAGAGACAGATGGTGAGGGAGAGAGAGAGAGACAGATGGTGAGGGAGAGAGTGAGACAGATGGTGAAGGGAGAGAGTGAGAGACAGATGGTGAAGGAGAGTGAGAGACAGGTGGTGAAGGAGAGTGAGAGACAGATGGTGAGGGAGAGAGTGAGAGACAGGTGGTGAAGGGAGAGTGAGAGACAGATGGTGAGGGAGAAAGTAGAGACAGATGGTCAAGGAGAGAGTAGAGACAGGTGGTGAGGGAGAGAAATGTCAGACAGGTGGTGACAGGTGGTGAGAGGAGGGATAGAGACAAGTGGTGAGGGAGAGATGTCAGACAGGTGGTGACAGGTGGTGAGGGAGGGATAGGAGACAGGTGGTGAGGGGAGAGATGTCAGACAGGTGGTGATAGGTGAGGGGAGGGATAGAGACAAGTGGTGAGGGAGAGATGTCAGACAGGTGGTGACAGGTGGTGAGGGGAGGATAGAGACAGGTGGTGAGGGGAGAGATGTCAGACAGGTGGTGACAGGTGGTGAGGGGAGGGATAGAGACAGGTGGTGAGGGGAGAGATGTCAGATGGTGGTGACAGGTGGTGAGGGCGAGGGATAGAGACAAGTGGTGGGGGAGATGTCAGACAGGTGGTGACAGGTGGTGAGGGGAGGGATAGAGACAGGTGGTGAGAGGGAGATGTCAGACAGGTGGTGACAGGTGGTGAGGGAGGGATAGAGACAAGTGGTGAGGGGAAGATGTCAGACAGGTGGTGACAGGTGGTGAGGGGAGGGATAGAGACAGGTGGTGAGGGAGAGATGACAGACAGGTGGTGACAGGTGGTGAGGGGAGGATAGAGACATGTGGTGAGGGAGATGTCAGACAGGTGGTGACAGGTGGTGAGGGGAGGATAGAGACAAGTGGTGAGGGAGAGATGTCAGACAGGTGGTGACAGGTGGTGAGGGGAGGGATAGAGACAAGTGGTGAGGGGAGAGATGTCAGACAGGTGGTGACAGGTGGTGAGGAGGGATAGAGACAAGGTAGGGAGACAGACAGGTGGTGAGGGAGATGTCAGACAGTGGTGGTGAGGGGAGAGATGTCAGACAGGTGGTGAGGGGGAGAGATGTCAGACAGGTGGTGAGGGGAGAGATGTCAGACAGGTGGTGACAGGTGGTGAGGAGGATAGAGACAGGTGGTGAGGGAGATGTCAGACAGGTGGTGACAGGTGGCGAGGGGTGGGGGGGAATGCTGCAAGAAGAATGTAGTTTTGTCAAGTATGTAAATAAAAATAAATCAAAGTTTCATGAAGGGGTGAGGGAGAGGGAGGTGGGGAGGGAGGTGGGGAGAGGAGGTGAGGGAGGGAGGTGGGGGGAGAGGAGGTGGGGGAGAGGAGGTGGGGAGAGGGTGAGGGAGAGGAGGCGGGGGGGTGAGGGAGAGGAGGTGAGGGGAGAGGAGGTGAGGGAGGTGAGGGAGAGGAGGTGAGAAGTGAGGAAGAAAGGAGGAGGGTAGGAAAGGGAGGAGAGAAGGTGACGGATTAGGAGGAGAAGAAGTAAGGGTAAAGGGGGTGAAGGGAAGAGGAGGAGGTGACGTTCATCATAAATACCAGTACACACACACACACACACACACACACACACGCACACACACACACACACACACACACACACACACACACACACACACACACACACACACACACACACACACACACACACACACACACACACAAAGAAAAAAATACGATTGCCTGTGTAATAGTGATCACTGTTTCATGAACCGGATTTATTTACATGTGAAATTTATGAGGTGTGACAGGCTGAGTCTTATATCCAGGTTGCCTAGTGGAGATGTCGATGTAAATTACGCTCATATATCCTCGTTATAGACTGGTGTTAGTGTAGTTTGTCGTCGTAATCAATTGAAATCGACGAGTGGCAACAAGTGATGGTGATTTCTGATACCTTGAAAGTGAGTTCGAGCCTTGTTATGACTTCGGACGAGAGGCCGAGAAAGAGGGAGGAAGGGAGAAGAAAAGGGAGAAAAAGGGAGGAAGGAAAAATGGAGGAAAAGAGGGAGGAAGGGAGAAGAAATGGAGGAAGGGAGAAGAAAGGGAGAAAGAGGAGGAAGGGAGAAGAAAGGGAGAAAGAGGGAGGAAGGAGAAGAAGGATAAAAGAGGAGGAAGGGAGAAGAAGGGAGAAAGAGGGAGGAAGGAAGAAAGGGATAAAAGAGGGAGGAAGGGAGAAGAAAGGGAGAAAGAGGGAGGAAGGGAGAAGAAAGGGATAAAGAGGGAGGAAGGGAGAAGAAATGGAGGAAGAGGGAGGAAGGGAGAAGAAATGGAGGAAGGAAAAGGGAGAAAAGAAGAGGAAGGAAAGAAAGGGAGAAAGAGGGAGGAAGGGAGAAAGAAAGGGAGGAAGGGAGAAAGAAAGGGAGAAAGAGAGAGGAAGGAGAAAGGGAAAAGAGGAGGAAAGGAAGAGGATAAAGAGAGGAGAAGGGAAGAAAGGGAGAAAGAGGAGGAAGGGAGAAGAAAGGATAAAGAGGAGGAAGGGAGAAGAAAGGATAAAAAGGGAGAGGAGAAATGGAGAAAGAGGGAGGACAGGAGAAAGAAGGAGAAAGAGAGGAGGAAGGGAGAAAGAGGAGAAAGAGGGAGGAAGGAAGAAAGGATAAAGGAAGGAGAAGAAAGGGATAAGGGAGGAAGGAAGAAATGGAGAAAGAGGGAGGAAGGGAGAAGAAAGGGAGAAAGAGGAGGAAGGGAGAAGAAAGGGAGAAGAGGGAGGAAGGGAGAAAAGGGAGAAAAGAGGGAGGAAGGAGAAGAAATGGATAAAGAGGAGGAAGGAGGAAGGGAGAAAGAGGGAGGAAGGGAGAAAGAGGGAGGAAAGGGAGAAGAAAGGGATAAAAAGGGAGGAAGGGAGAAAGGGGAGGAAGGAGAAGAAAGGGAGAAAGAGGGAGGAAGGGAGAAAAGGAAGAGGAGGAGAAGGAGGAAGGGAGAAGAAAGGGAGAAAAGGAAGGAGAAGAAAGGGAGAAAAGAGGGAGGAAGGGAGAAGAGGGAAGAAAGGGAGAAAGAGGGAGGAAGGGAGAAGAAATGGATAAAGAGGGACGAAGGGAGAGAGAGTAAAAGAAAAGAAAGAAAGAAAGAAAGAAGAAAGAGAGGCAAAAGGTTACATTATGGTCCAGTAATTGATGGCTTAAGGTAGAAGCTGTCACGGGAAACACGAGGCAGAGAGGATAACATATACAAGGTCGATAAACACAAGGATGGCTACAGCACCTCACCTGTAGAACTTTACCTGTAGAGCCTTACCTGTAGAACCTCACCTGTAGAACCTCACCTGTAGAACCTCACCTGCAGAACCTCACCTGTGAACCTCACCGTAGAACCTCACCTGCAGAACATACCTGCTAGCGCCTCACCTGTAGAACCTTACCTGTAGAATCTCGTCTATAAACAACATAAAGATAGCCACAGAAAAGTCGTAACTCTTACCTGTAGATCCTTACCTATAGCAACTCACCTGTGAGGCCTTACCTGTAGTACACTCACCTGTAGAGCCTTACCTGTGATACCTCACCTGTAGATCCTTACCTGTAGTACCTCACCTGTGAATCTTTCTATAGCTCACCTGTAGAGCCTTACCTGTAGTACCTCACCTGTAGAGCCTTACCTGTAGTACCTCACCTGTAGAGCCTTACACAGTACCTCACCTGTAGATCCTTACCTGTAGTACCTCACCTGTAGATCCTTACCTATAGCAACTCACCTGTAGAGCCTTACCTGTAGTACCTCACCTGTAGAGCCTTACCTGTATTCCTCACCTGTAGATCCTTACCTGCCTTAAGATACATTCCTCCCTTATAAATATATAGAGAGAGACGGTGCTCTGACTGACGTAAGAGAGACAGACACACGGACGTAATACTCAGTGTTTATTACGTGTTGTCATATTTATCTCACACACACACACGAACGAACACATAGACACACACACACACACACACACATAGACACAGATATATAATGTATCTCAACATCCAAACATCAGTGCAGGTCTCTATCAACATCCAAACATCAACAAAAGACTTACATACAACAACAAACCAGCCAATTTCTCACCTCGAAGTAGTTTTCGAGGATGGTGCCTCCAACATAACCCCAGGTCATGGAATCCCGCGCCTTCAGTAGGTCATCGAGACTACTGACGGCGTTCTCGATCTTGGGGAAGGTTAGGGGAAAGCCACTAGGTTCCCGGAGTATGTCGTCACCACAATCAGGACGAAGATCCACCAGAAACCCACCACGAGTCTTCCTGAGTTGCTGAGAGGGAGCTTGGTGCCTCCTGGTGGTCGTGGTGTGAGGAAGAGGAGGGAGGAGGAGGAGGAGGAGGAGGAGGAAAGGGAGGAGGACGAGAGGAAGATGAGAAAGGGAAGAGGAGAAAGGGGGAAGGAGGAGTAATAGGGGGAGCAGGAGGAAGAGAGAAACAGGAGAAGAACAGGAGGAGGAGTGGATAAGATTAAAAAAAAAAAGTAAATAAGACAAATAAAACATTGTTAGTTACAGAATTACCATACAAACAAACACAGACAAACAAACAAACTCCCAACACTAATCCTTTTATCTTCTAATATGAACTAATAAACATACACACAGAGACACTATCAGCACAAACACCTGAAGAAAGAACTCACCCTGCTGGAGGATGGCGCCGAAGACATACCAGGAACAGTTCTGGAGTTTGAAGAGTCCCTTGCCATCATAGAGGTCGTAATAGGAGAGTTACGGTTGATGAGGAACAGGATAGGACCCATGATGAGGACTGTGATGGCGATGAGGATCCAGGTCTGTTTGGGAGAGGAA